AAATTTAAAAATTATCATATCTTTTATAAAAATTCAAAATTTTATAATTTCAACAATATATTTTCAAATTTAATCTATATTTTAATGCAACAATAATAAATATACATTTACGAAAGTGTTAGTTGAATAACCTGCCATACAAATAACATTTATCATAAGAACTGTAATTTTTCATTTGAGTCTGTTTCATGTTTTACTTTTTATTTAATGTAAGATATATATATATATATATATATATATATGAAATATATAAGTTTTAATCTTGGTAAACAGTTATCATTTCATAAACAAAACATATATCAACATGTCAATTTAGGTGGTGTTTGTCTTCTAAAAAGTGCTGAAGTCTGAAATTTGAATCAATAAGATTGTTTGTTACTGTAAACTAATAATTGTCTGGATTTGTTTAAATTGTCTATTTACCGGTTAGAAAAATTATAATGTTGAATTTATAGATAAATTTATACAATTTCATATATTTGTTCATCATCTTTACGAAATTTATATTTAAATTGTATAATTATCACTCATTTAAACAAAAATACGTCATTAATTAGCGGTATTTAACACATTTTAATCATATTAAAATACACCAATTGAGAGATGTGAGGATCGATTTGATGTGATCAATTGAGAGAAATTATCGATTAAGGTTAATCGATTGAGAAACGTCGTTGCTAAAGGTTTCGAAAACAATAAGAGTCAAATGAGAGGTTGGTTTACCTCTTACCAGATAAGAGAACAATAAGATGTAAGTGTCTCAACCACAAGGGTGGTGCCTGATTGGTTTGAGCTTGGCTCCAAATATCAAAAGTACCAGGAGGTCTCAGATTCAAATCAAATGAGGAATACAAATCCTCTTGTGGTCAGAGAGGTTCAAATGCGGTGACTTTAGGCTATCTGTAAAGCAGGTGGTCACCCTGGGATTAGTCGGCTCGCATAGCGGGTTGGATATCCATGTTAATAAAAAAAAGATCTAAGTACCTCTGAAAATTGGAAAAAACAAGCAGTTTGAATGACTCTACCTCTTAACAAATCAAACATAAGAGGCTAATAAAAAAAATTCTTTATGCATAAGAACATCAATATGCAAAAGCAACTTTTTTGAAACCTCGGTACACACATGTATCTCATACTAATATACACCTGGTAAGGTTTATTAACCCCACAATTCACCTAACACCTGTTCCATATTTATTCTTTGCAAAACATATCTCCGTCACATCACCTGTGTGACCTTGGATGTTTTTAAGTATACAATGTTTATATACAGCAAAAGCAACAAATAAACTAACACACCCCTTCACCTTTAGTGAGGGTTGAAAATGGTGGGGGACCACTAGTGGAATTTTGTATCTTATTTTGTAAAAACCAACTTCTGTTATGTGGTACGATTATTCCCCGTAATGATCCAGTATCAGTAGGACCTCGAGATATGCGTTTATCAGTCTTTAAATGATCTTACATTATTTCATAACACAGTATACAGATATACCTTCAAACTTGGTTGTTCATTTTACTGTCTATGTTTGGTAGTTGATGTATTCTTTTCACTGGGTTTGTGCATGAATCTGGAAGGCTTTAAACTGATAGTTGAAAGTTCCATTTATAGCAAAATTTGACAGGTTTATATGACATTATAACCTTGATTAGTCACCAAATAGGTTTGGTATAACATGCTTTTTAAGTTTAATGTGTCGTTTTTTCAAAAATTGAACAGGTCATCACTGATTTTAACATTTGTGTTTCGAGATTTCATGAGTCAGCTTTGACATGGCGTTTTTAACTGCCGTTTTTAGGTTTAACAAGTCATCACTAGTTTTTGACATGTCATGCTTCTAGGTTTAACGAGTCACCATCAATTTTCACATATCGTGTTTCTAGCTTTACTGAGTCATCACCAGGTTTCAAATATCATGCTTATTTACTATTCTTGAAATAACAAGTTATTTAAGTTTCAATAACATATGCATTATATCTTGTACTGTGTTTGTGAGTCAACTCATTCTCCCTGTAAACTTTTGTAAGTTGCTTTCATTTTTTTGTATATATACATAAAGTCAGTGAAGGATCTACAGTAGAACATATAATGACACGTGCTACCGTATTATTCCTCCATCGAAGGGTAAAAAAATTTAGGTTCGTGAAATGTGTAACCGTATTAATTTGTTGTGTGCCACCGTATGTATCTCGAAACTATAATGAGAACAAGTTTTATTTGGTTGAGTTGGCTTGCAAGACTTTTATTCCACCCCATACCCAAGTTCGAATAATATTAGTGTCATTTTCTTAGTCAAATAGTGCCATCGTTTGAAAAAAAAAATTATGTGCATTTGTTTTCTATTATCAAATTGTGTCACCGTTTGAAAAAATTTCCCTATATTTTTTTTCATACAGTCAAACGGTGCCACCGTCGTCCCTACAAGTTGAAGAGTTGTCAGTTGCAGAAGTAGTGACATTTGTAAAATAATAAAAGAAAAATGAGGGGTTGTTTGTTTACTTCTTAATGGTTCCATTAAGAGGCAATATCTGAATCGTTAAGAGGTGAATCTTGTTTGACAAAAAAAAATCTGTCTCTTAATGGTACTAAAACTTTCTAAATGATTTTGTATCATGGGTCCCCCTTAACCATTAAGAGCCTTAATTCATTATAAACAATTACCAAACAATTATATTTCATTTTGCATAATACCATAAGAGTCTCTTGATTATTCTGACCATTTAATAATTCTGCACAAAACCATTCAGCAGCCTCTAAAAGACAAAACCAAAACTGAAAAATGACTATTTTAATTGATTTTTTCTTATTTTAATCATAAAATATATCAAATTAAATAAAGGATAAACGTGTTTAAACAAACCGACAATTGAGTCCAAAATCCAATTACTGAGCGACTCACCGAGTCAAAGGCCAGAATCGGAGGTGAGTTGTCGGTGGCGAGTTCACTTCTCTCTCTCTAGTTGGTGGGTCATCGTCCTCTTCAAAGCTTCCCCATATGTTTACTTGATTCCAAATCCAGCCTGTTTTCAATGATTCATACACCCCAACCGATCCCCATCATTCAATCTCCACCGTCCATTTCCACACCTTCCCCATTATTCCATTGACGCAAATACTTGATCTAACACACTTCATCTTCATTGCATTGTAGGCAGAGGAAATTCGCAAGCAAGGTTTTTCATACAAAACCCAATTGCATTTCAATCGAAATAAACAAAATCAGATCTAGAAGAAGGGGAGCAGTCTCCACTCTCAGTAAGTTCCACATTCTACTTCCTTCAATTACGCAGATCTCGTTTATTTTCAGCATAGATTTCCACCAAAACCTTGAAAGGAAACAAAATTCATTACTGGGTACATTGGTTTGTGATTGGGTGTTGTCGTTTATTTATCTTCTGCCCAATTAGATAGTGGTTGAACTTGAATCCTTCGTGTTTTTTCTCAAAGTTTCCAGTAAAACCCTAAAATGTAAACGAGATTCGTTACTGGGTATAGGGTTTGATGTCTCATATGCTATTTTCAGCATCTATATCTCTATGGTTTATGCTTTTTCCCCCAGAAAAGTTCACCAAATGGCTAAATGAACAAGAAAAGGAACTTGATTCCTTACTGGGTATTTTTGTTTTTATTGATCTTGTGTTGATTGGAGCTTATGATTTATATCTGTGTTTCTTCAATTCATTTTAACTAAAACTTCAATAAAGAAGAAAAAGGAACCCAATTCAATTAGTGGGTATTATGTTTTTTATATTCTCTGCTCATTTCAGCATCCTGAGACTCTCTGATTCATTTTCTTTTTTCAAGAAAATTTCCACCGACAATCCAAATAAACAAGGATGGTTGTTTTCCATTAAGTCCGGTATGGATAAAGCTGTTTGTGTGGATTAATCTGTCTGTATAGATTGAGATTTTTTTTGAGAGGGTTTTTCATAGATAGAACGAACTTGTTTTTCAATTGGGACGGACATGTTTGGGAAAACCTTTGCTTTCTGCATGGAGTTCCCCCTAGAAGCTTACCGAATAAACCACTTTCTATATCTTTAAGCAACTACCAAACATTCATGTATAACTGACGGAATAAGCTTTGAGTCCCCTTAAGCTCATTAAGCAGCTTACAAACAGGCTGGTTTTTCATTAATTTCTGTATGGATAAAGCTGTCTGTGTGGATTAATGTGGATTAATCTGTCGATAAAGATTGTGAAGGTTTTTGTTTGGGAGGATTTTTCCATAGATAGAATGAGTGTGTGTTTTAGTTGTAAGTTGTAACAAACATAAAAAACTTGGCTTTCTGAATAAAGTTCCCCCTAGACACTTACTGAATAAGCCACTTTCTATATCATTAAGCCAACTACCAAACAGTCATATACAGCTGACCAAATAAGCTGTGAGTCCCATTAAGCTCATTAAGCTGCTAACAAATATATATCACTAGCTATATTGTTAATGTTAAATAGGATCCTAATTCATCACATAAGTCTCTTATACTCTCATGTGTTCCATCTTTGCTACAAAATCCCTGAATTGATACGAAAAAGGATCTTAAATTTTAGTTGGGTATTTGTTTTATATCTCTTTCTCCATTCAAAAGCATATGGGTATATCCTAATTCGTGTTTTTCCAAATCTTTTCGATGAAATTAGCTTAATTTCATTAATGGGTGTTATGCTTTTGTTTGCTTTTTGCAGCGAAGAAGAATGGAGACGAAAAATACATGTCTTTTGATAATAAGTGTACTGTTTGTGATCGTTTCAATCGTGGATGCGACTGCAAACGTGCCTATATTGGTGAAGAAGGTGAAAGGGAAGAAAGTATGTGATCAGGGTTGGGAATGTAAAGGCTGGTCAGAGTATTGTTGCAATCTTACAGTAACTGACTATTTTGATTACTACCAATTTGAGAATCTTTTCTCGAAGAGGAATTCACCGGTGGCACAAGCTGCTGGTTTCTGGGATTATAAGTCTTTTATCACTGCCTCAGCCATTTACCAACCCCTTGGTTTTGGTACCACCGGCAACAAGACAACACAAATGAAGGAGATTGCTGCATTTCTTAGCCATGTTGGCAGTCAAACTTCTTGTAAGTTTATACTTTCAATAGTTGGACTTTTGTTCTTTATTGATGATGAATCTTGCTAGGAATTGTTTGAATCATGAGGTATGAATACTTGAAGTTTGCAATTGGAATTAGATTAAAAGAAAGGTTAGGTTGGTGGTGATGGTGAAGGGTGGTGGTCAGTGGTGGCAGGTGGTGACGTTTTTGGGTTTGAGAAAAGGGTAAAAAGACAGAAATGCCCTCATGTGAGGGGCACGTGGTGAGTGACTAATGTTGCTCTATTTGATGGTGTTTAACTTAGTGTTATGAAAATGACAAATTATGGCCCACTGGTGTACTTGATGCTTTCTAGGGACCAAAATGAAAATTTGAACATAACATGAGGGACCACGAATGTAGTTTAGATTTAATATTATTTTGGGGTTGTTTGGTTGGTTTTTTTATTAAGTTTTATATGGATAAAGTTGTCTGCATGGATTAATGTCTGCATAGATGTGGAAGATTTTTGTTTGGGAGTTTTTTTTTCCAAAGATGGAAAGAGCATGTTTCTTTTAGTTCGGAGGCTCTGGTTTGGAAAAAATTTGGTTTTTTGCATAAAGCTCTGCCTAAAATCTTACTGAATAAGCTACTTTCTATATCACTAAGCCACTACCAAACAGTCATCCATAGCTTACCGAATAAGCTGCAAGTCCCATTAAAATCATTTAAGTTGCTAACAAATCCCTCACTTTTACATGTTCAACTACAAAATGGCATGATGACATGATTTTTGTTGTCGAAAATGGTTTAGGTGGATATGGAGTGGCAACCGGAGGACCTACGGCATGGGGATTATGCTACAACAAAGAGATGAGCCCGAGTCAAAAATATTGTGACGATAACTACAAGTACACTTACCCTTGTGCCCCCGGAGCTGATTATTATGGTCGTGGTGCTTTGCCCATCTATTGGTATGAACCACTTTTTTTTTTCCTCCAATATTCAGTTCATGTCTTTTTATTCTGCAACGTTAGTATAAGAGGTCAGGTCTGCATATATCTCACCTCAACCTAACCATACTTTCAAGTGGGATTTACTGGGTTGGTTTGATTTGGTTATTCTGCAACGTAATAACTAGGGGTGTATTTGAGTCGAGTACAAGATTGCTTAAAAGATTGGTAGGCTTGTTGCTCATAGTATGGGCATAATGGCTTATACTCATAAGGTTCGTCACACCAAGGGCTTGTTTGTTAGCAGCATAAAGAGCTTAATGGGTGGGCTCACAACTTATTTAGTGAGCTATACATGGCTGTTTGATAGTTGCTTAATGATATAGAAAGTGGCTTATTCAATAAGTTTTTAGGTGGTAGCTTTATGCAGAAAGCCAAAGTTTTTTCCAAACTTGCCCCTTGCAGTAAAAAAACATGCTCCTTATCTATGACCCCTCCAAACAAAAAACTTTCCAATCTCTACAAACAGATTAATCCACAGAGATAGTTTTATCCATACAGGACTTGGCACTTGGGGTCTGTTTGTTAGCAGCTTAATGGGACTCGCAACTTATTCGGTCAGCCATACATGACTGTTTGGTAGTGGCTTAATAATATAGAAAGTGGGTTATTCAGTAAGCTTTTAGGGGGAAGCTTTATGTAGAAAGCCAAATTTTTTCCTAAACCTCCCCCTCCAATAAAGAAACACGTTTCTTCCGAACAAAAATCTTCCCAATCTCTACAGATAGATTAATTCACACGGACTGGTGTATCCATACAAGACTTAATGGAAAACCTCATGTAGTCGGAATGAGCTCACTTTTTCTTATGTCGTTGTGTTGTTTCAGGAACTTTAACTATGGATACATTGGCGACTGCCTGAACGTAGATCTTCTGAACCACCCCGAATACATTGAACAAAACGCCACTTTAGCCTTCCAGGCTGCTATCTTCCGATGGTTAACACCCTTAAAGAAGGGTCAGCCATCAGCCCACGAAGCCATGGTCGGCACCTGGAAACCAACCAAAAACGACACTTTGTCCCATAGATATCCTGGATTTGGTACCACCATGAACATCCTGTACGGTGAACGTACGTGTGGAAAAGGCGATGTTGACGACATGAACATCATCATCACCCATTACTTATATTATCTTGATTTGATGGGTGTTGGCCGAGAAGAGGCTGGGGCCCACGACGTGCTCACGTGCGCTGAACAGAAACCGTTTAACCCATCGACCACTAAAAAAGAAGCGGCTTCCAGCTGAGCTTTGTTTGGTTCAACACTATATCGATATGGCTTCAATATCTCAAGAAATAAAAGGTGCCCTTTGGATGTTGCTGTGAAATGTGTGGTATGGAGGCTTGGTGGCTTGGAGCCATAATAGTGTGAAGCTGAGGGCTGGTGGATTAAGATCCATGTCTTTAGTTTATAGATTCAAAATCATTTTGATTTTAAATGTTTGGTATTTATTTTGTGATTTTTTAGTGAAAATTACAGACATCAATATTCTATAATTTTGTTCAGATTATGAATCTTCAGTTTGGTTGTATTATAAAGTTTGTAATAAATGTGTATGAATATTTTTCAATGTTAATTGTAAAATTGCTTATTTGTTAATTGTTTTTGCCTTTACCTGGTGGTTGGTATTTTATGGGAATTTATAGAGTTTGTTTATAATAATGTTTTAAAATATATTAAAAATATTTGTTTTACAATATGTAATTAATAAAAAAATGTAATTTAATTATTTTTATAATTTTTTATAAATTGTTTTTATGAATTATTAATTTGTTTTACAAATCCTACATAACAAACACATCAAAATTTCCAACGTCGTTTTAATTTTTTTGGAGGTCCTGTTACACCCATACTAAAGTTATAAATTATATGAAATGTATAACATGACAAAGTGAGAAGAATATCAAAGGGTCGTTTTTTCTGTTTTTAACAGACAAAACAAATTAAATAGTCATTTTTGATTTTGAAGGAAATTAGATAGGTTTTAATTAATGTTACAGGCACCAAACACAAGTAAAATTGGACCCCAAAATTTTGAAGGTCCTGTTCAAAAACCATATTTAACATGCTAATAAAACAACCTTGCCGCCCTTAAAATATCTAATAAATAACATAATATAAACCAAAATTACAAGCTCTTTAATTTGAATTTATAATATTTTCAAGAAAATGAAGCATGGAATACCAAAAATAGGTCAATTTGATGAGTTTTCTTGAAAAACTACCAAAAATTTCAAGAAACTGAAGATGTAAAACAGATCATGGGATCAATGATAAGAAGTATCAAAATCTTCAAAATCCCATCTCAGATCAAAAACTCAATCTTCACTTCACTTTCAACATGTTTAAACTAACTTGTTTTCCGCCTGCCCGAAATACTGGCCCGATATTGTTACTAAAATATTAAGCATGATAACTTCATCATCAAGACCTGATTTTTGAGCTCGAAGGGTCGCACATTTTCGCAACAAGCAACGAAGCGAAGCACTGGTGTCGGCATCTAGAGGAGTGTCGATGGCTGCACAAAGAGCAAACAGCCATGCACACTCGTTTCGACTCAAAGAGCTCACAGTCTCCACGGACGTTATCCGTTTCCTCAGCATCGTCACACGAGCCACTGGTTCCATCTCAAGAATGGTTCGCAAGCTAGGCCAGTCGCAGTTGGCAGTCTTCTGGTCTTCTGTTTGGCAGAAATCAAGATTTTCTTGAATCGTATTCGTGCCATCATCTGTCTGACAGAAATCAAGATTTTCTTGAACCACACTCTCAAAAATGCTCTGGGCAAGAGGGATTGGTTCGATTTTGCTAGAGAATGTAGAAACAGAACTTTCATCGCGGGATAACGCCTGAAATTTATAAAAAATGCAAAACAAATTATCGACCGAAAGTTAAAAGCCATAACCAAACTACAAAGAAATCAAACTTGGGTCACTGGGTCCTCTTTGTTTTGATCATTTAAACTTTTCATTTTATGGGTTTGATTTGTATGAAAAGAACGAAAGATATAATTGTGAAATAAGGACGGAAGGCAATGGAAGAACGGTAAACGGAAAGGACAAACTTACCAGCCTTAACTCTGAAAAGTCGGCAAGGAAAACATCTTCCCACTCTTTGGATGGCATTATATGCTCCGGACACGCTGCAATTTCAGGGATATTTGGCATATAAACAGTTTGTTCTTTGTTGAACGCATCTCTTTCGACCTTCGCAACTTTTACTTTTGGGATATGCTCAGCCTCCCATCTATGCACAAAAAAACGGCTATCAGTAAACCATATATATGTGTATATATATGTATAGGGGAGGGTTCATGTGAGAACCGCGTACAATATGAGAACTAGGGAACTGATTTTATACCATGTACACTATTGACTACACTGTATAAATATCATCAAAATATGTATACTGTTGATGAATATATACAACATGTTCACTTGTATTTGTAATTTGTCAATGAGTATATTCAACGATATATACACATGAAAACATTAGTTCCCTGGTTTTCAAAATATTTGCGGGTCTCATTTGAACCGGCCCTCTCTCTCTCTCTCTCTCTCTCTCTATCTATATATATATATATATATATATATATATATATATATATATATGGACTTAGGTTCAAGGGAAAACCAAAAAAAAGGGAAAATCAAGGAATACCCTAATAACTATTCATGATTCATCTGTACGGTATACACTGATACACATGTGCATAAAAGTAAATGTTACCTGGTTTCTATGCATGTGTGCTTCTTATGCATCATGTGCATACCAGACAAATAACTTTTATGTACATGTGCACATCGTTCAGATGAATAGTTACCAGGGTGTTCGTCAGTTTTTCATGTTTTTTGCGGTTTACAAGTAATTAATTTGTCTGGTATGCACATGTTCATAATATGCACAAGTGCATAAAAACTAAGAAACAACTTCAATTATTTGTATGCACATGTGCATACTGTTATAGGTGTTCCTCAGTTATTCATTTTTCTTGGGGGTTTTCCCCTGAACCTCCCTCCCTCTCTCTCTCTCTCTCTCTATATATATATATATATATATATATATATATATAATATAGAAAGTCAATGTATGTGGGGGTGTGTGTGTAAGAGTCTTTAACTTCAAGCCATGGAAAAAGGGAGGCTTTCTAACAGGAAAAAAAGAGGGTGACGGGCATTACCTCACTCGCCTAAGATATTCTAGTCCATCTTGTGGAGGCCCCGAATCAAAATCAGGTTCTCCGGTTACCAAAAATGCAGGTCTTTGAATGCTAAAAAGTTCGGAATCGCTGTCTTCATCTTCATAATCATCTTCCTCTCCACCAAGCGAGCCATCTAAATCGTTGCCATTTACACCCGATACATGATCCACTTGGTTCGTATTTTGCATTTCACCACCGACATTGTCAAGCTCATTACCTGGAAAGTATCAGCATTTCCGTCAAAGAAAGATTCTACCAACTTCCATACGACATTTGCACTGCTTAAAGAACAATTCACGATAAAAAAAGATCTTTTTCAAGAATCAAATATATATGTTTCTCCGTATTGTGAACCTCAACCACTCTGATGTACGCTTAAAGAAGCTAGCAAGCATAACAAGCCTTTGTGGTGCTTTTGGTACCAGGCATGATAGGACAGAACATGACTGAACAACAAAGTTGTTCAACGCAACGTTTGGTAAGACAAAATTGAAACTGAACAAATAAATATTTTTTATAACAGAATATATCATTAGGAAGTTTTTGTCAAGTCGATTAAAATGACACCAAAATAAAAAGTTCATGTAGTTTCCAATTTTTATTTCTATATTATTTTTATTATTAATATTTAATAAATTACATAAATTAATCAAAATATAGAAACCGTATAAAAAGGAGCTAACAAATCTAATTTCCTATCCACTTGCTATGCGTTGTTACAGGCTATGTACATGTTGTGTACTACTTTTATGATAAATAACAAATAATCGAGCTTTATATTCAACAATGTGAGCATATCACCTACTAAAGTTAGGGGTTGTTTGGTTGGTTTTCCATTAAGTCCTATACGGATAAAGTTGTCTGTGTGGATCAATTTGTCTATATAGATTGAGAAGGTTTTTATTTGGGAGGGTTTTTTCATATATGGAAAAGGGCGTAATTTTTAATTGAAAGGGGGCATGTTTGGAAGAAAAAAAAAAAAACTTGGCTTAGAATTTTACTAAGGGGCTGTTTGGTTGGTTTTTCATTGTCATGTATGGATAAAGCTGTCTGTGTGGATTAATCTGTCTTTAGGTTGAGAAGGTTCTTGTTTGGGAGAGTTTTTCATAGACAAAATGAACATGAGTGAGTCTCATTAAGCAGCCAACAAACAGACCCTAATGGCCTGTCTTAGCAACTTAATGAGCTTAATGGGACTTTTGCAGCTTTACGGTCAGCTATAGAAAGTAGCTTCTTCAGTAAGCTCCTAGGAGGAAGCTTTATGCAGAAAGCCAAGTTTTTTTCCAAACTTGTCCCTCCCAATTAAAAACACTTCCTTTTTATCTATAAAAAAACTCTCTGAAAAAAAACCCAATCTATATAGACATATTAATCCACACAGACAACTTTCTTTATCTATACAGGCTAATGGGAAACCAACCAAACATCCCCTAAGCCACTTTCTACATCATTAAGCGACCACCAAACAATTATATATAGCTGACCGAATAAGTTGTGAGTCACGTTAAACGTATTGAGCTGCTAACAAACAAACCCTCAGACAAGAGAGCACACACAAAATCATCAAAATTGCATTTCAAGACTATGTTCATTGCATCTAGTGAAAGTTGATAAGCAAATGATCAAGAATATACCCTTTTTGCTGGCGAATAGCGGCCGAGGATCAAAATTCACATAATTTTCCTCCTCATCATGTACTGAACCACCCAAACCATCATACTCCTTGGCTACAACAGATCCAAGCCCACAATAAACCTCAATCCATTTCTTCTTTTGATCATCCATTCTTGAATACCTCAAAGCTTCCATATCTTCCCTAATGTACCTCACTCTTGCCCTATCACCTCTTCTATCACAATCACACACATTTTGCCTTTCGAAATCATGAATCGAATTTGAATTCAAATTCTTTTTCAACCCTTTTCCCCTTTTTCGAACCCGTTTCTCTTTCTTTCCTTCTTTCTTCACATTTTGTTCCTCTTTGCCCTCATCGATGGCTTCAATCCGTGATGAATCATCGAGAATTATCGTCTGATTAGGGGAATCACTGAGATTTATGAGATGGGTTTCATCTTTTGGAACTAATTCTTGCCCTTGTTCAACATGTAGCTCTTCGATTTGATCCAAAGAAGTCGATAAATTGACTTCATGAGGTTCTTGATTATCGTTTCTGACATCGGGAACCAAACCCACTTGGACATCGATGGTTTCTTGAATACTTTTGGTGATTAAATCATCCGAGGAAGGATTTGATGTTCTTGATTCCAAAACGGAAGAACTTTCGGCCATCTTGCGGTCCAGTGGGGTTTAGAGTGAAGAAGGTTTTAGAAGTGGTTTAAATATAGGGGGTGTTTGTGAATTGAATTATTCCGGTGTGCAACCAGTAACAAACATTTATAATTTATATCGGTGTCCAACCGGTAAAAAAAAGTTTTTGAAGAAGTTAAAAGCATTCTAACTTATAATAAATTGATAAATACTTTTATAAAAAACATAAATTGTTTCAGATGAGCAATCCCAAACAACTTCATAGTATGCATCCATCTCAAACTATTTGTATTTCTATCCCACAAGATGGAGTAAATATCATCAATAATTTGGTGTTAAATGTTTTTAATTTTAAGGTAGATTACGTTTTTTATGCATATGGTTGATTAAATTTTTGATTTTAGAAATTTATGGTTTGTAATTAATTGTTATTTTTATTTTATAATTTATTGGAGTTTCAGTTCTTGTGATTTATAATTTTTTACTTTTTTTTCATTAACCAGGATATCTAACCGACTATGTAAGCCGACTAATCCTAGGACGGTCACCTGTTTTGCAGATAGTCCAGAGTCACCGCATTTGAAACTCTGTGACCATAAGGGGATTTTTATTTCTCTTTGGATTTGAAACGGAGACCTTCTGATACTTTTAACATTTGTAGTCAAGCTTAAACCGATCAGGCACCACCCTTGTGGTTATGATCTCTTATACTTGAAGGTATGAATTAGCTCAATGATGAATTTAATAATGAATTACAAACCATAAGAACGAATATAACAATTTCTAAACTATAGGGATGAAAATCGTAATTTATCTTAATTTTATGAAGCTCAAGTATTTAATAATTTTGTTAAGCTAATCTTTTTTTGGTAACCCATGAGTGTTTGGGTCAGATTGTACACATCTCAACCAATCCCAGGATTCAAAAGTATAGTTAGAAAAATTCTCAGTGACAGACTCGAACCGGTGAACTTTCCAACCATTAAAACACAATCATAACATAAAATAAATTACTTTAAATAATGTTTTAAGTATTATTTTACATCAAAATCATAAGATACAATCGTTAGAGCCATTCAATGTTGTACATATTTTTTCACGAAAAATACACGTGAAAGTAGACGAACCATTTTGAGCATTACCCTTGAAACCATTTCGAAAAACAATTAGATGGTCTGATTTGGAGGATTTTCTAACTCAATTCTCTTATATTATGGTTATCGTCGGTTTTGACTATCATACCGTTACTGACTTACTGTGACATAAACTCTTACACAAATCAAGAATCTTAAAGAAGCGGATGCATAAGGGGCAAGCTCAGTTGAGAACCTGGTTTACGTTATAAACCAGAGGACCAACGAGAGGCCGCCACACATCCAGGACATATCATCATCAACGCTCTCATTTATCCTCCAGTTCGCAACGAAAATCACGTTTGCAACTAAACTTTCCTAAAATGCATAATAATGTTACATATACGGGGAAGTCAACCCACATTGGTGTGGATGTAGGCCAAGAATCGCTATTTTGATCCATTGAAGCAAGTCTTGAATAAAAGCTGGTTTCCATTATTGAACAAATCTTTGACAAACCCAACACAAGTGCACATCAATGTTCTCAAAACAAAAAAATATAAATGCAAAGAAAACCACTACTATATATGCCTCAAACCAAAACCTACAATCGAAAAGCTGTAGACCGACCGTCCCAGAAAGAAACTCGTCCCGTTTACATTACACTTCCGGAGCCGCTGCTGCTGGTGGTGCAGGAGCCCTCAACAGTGGTTGAAGAGCCTTCACCACGATACTCATATTAGGCCTAAACTCAGCCTCATACTGCACGCACAAAGCCGCCACTGCCGCCAGCTACAACCACAAACAAATATGAGTTAGGGGTTGTAAGATTAGTTTTCCATTAAGTCCTATAGGGTGCGTCTAGTAGGAACATAGTGGAACATGCATGTTTCCCCTCCATCCCATGGAATAAGGTCGAACATACTTGTATTTTACATATAACCTCAAAGTAAAACCTAATTCTCTTCTAAAACATCAAATACCGTCTCTCTGTACATTTTATTCATTTTTTAAAATTTATTTAGTGTATTTTATGCTCTTTAATATTTCATTTTACTATCCTCAAAATATTATTTTTATACGGTTGCAATATTTGATTCATTTATGTAATTTATTAAATATTAATAATAAAAAATATATAGAAAAGGTATAAAATAAAAATTGGAAACTACATAAACTTTTTATTTTGGTGTTATTTTAATCATATTGATGAAAACTTTTTAAAGATATATTTTGTTATAAAAAATATTTATTGTATTATAATTTAACAAATTACATAAATTGATCAAAATATAAATATACAACTCATTAAGGGTAAATTGGTCATTAATTTGTTTTGTCCTGTCCACTTTTGTCTTATCAAACACTAAACAATGTCTTGTCCTATCCTATCCCATCTGGATATCAAACACACCCGTATAGATAAAGTTGTTTGTGTGGATTAATCTATCTATATAGATTAAGACTTTTGTTTGGGTGGGTGATTTAGTAGCTGAATGCGCGTGTTTTTTAATTGAGAGGGAGGTATAAAAAGAAAAAAAAAACTTGGCTTTCTACATAAAGTTCCCCCCTAAAAGCTTACTAAATAAGCCACTTTCTATATCATTAAGCCACTACCAAACAGTCATGTATAACAGACCGAATAAGTTGTGAGATTAAGTTGCTAACAAACATATCCTTAGAGCATCTCCAATGGTTGTTTGAAGAAAGCTTGAAGATGACTTGATTATTGGAGATAATGACTTGAAGATGACTTTTTTTTTATCAATCACTTGAGGTTCCTCAAGTCTTTAAAGAAATGGATGTAAGAGGCAAAGAGAGAGAAAAAGTGTATGATGGCGGAACCAAGACTTTTTTTTATATATTTTTATTTTGTTCTAAGTCTTTTACACAAGTTAAACATTGCGGATGCTCTTAGTCAGTTACTAAGTGGGTCCCATTTCATATGTATTTCCTACTACTTTGGAAAGAGATAGACCGACCTTTGCAACCGCTTTTGGAGGGTACTCTCCCTTGAGTCTTGGATCAACACATTGTTTCACCTTGTCTTCACTTAGCCTCGGTGTAGCCTATATGTAGAACAAAACAGAAAAAAATGGATCTTTAACCATTTATATGATCATCAAGAAAGATGGGTTTTTTCAGGTTCCTTTATTACTCGATCAATTTCATGGGGTCCCTTCTTTATTTTGCCACATATCAACTAAGGACTCATCATCAGCAGAACCCATATCATGAAATTGTCAAATGGCCGAAATGGATTTGACCCATTCGCCATTTATACAATAATCAGAAAAAAAAGACTCACCCAAGTGACAAGACTCTGCTGTCCACGTGGCATTGTGTGATCAACAGGTTTCCGACCAGTTAGAAGCTCAAGAAGAACAACCCCAAAGCTATACACGTCACTCTTTTGTGTCAGCTGGCCCGTCATTGCATATCTACACAAGGGTTCCACTCAAAACATTAGATAATTGGTAAGTTTCTTTTCATAAGAAAAGCACACGAAAATGTGCATATTATCATATGAATATCAGTCTTTCAAGGTACTTATAAACAGCAAACACATTCAAAAAATAAAAGAAAATTAGGGTTCATAGGTAAACAACTAAAGTCTGTTTAAAACAACTAGAAATAGAGGGAGGTTCAAGGGCAAACCCCAAAAAATATGAAAAACGGAGGAACACCCTGGTAACCATTCATCTGAATGGTATTCACATGTGCATACAAGTAATCGAAGTTGTTTCTTGGTTTTTATGCACGTGTGCATGTTATGCACATGTGCATACCGGACAAATTGCTTACAAATCACTTATATGCACATGTGCATACCGTCCAGATGACCCGGAACCTGACCTATTAGAAATAAACTTAAAGGGGATCTCTTTTCCTGACTTCCTTTTAGAGACATGAATGTATGTGAAAAGGGTTTAAAGCATTACTCTGGTGCATGATAGCCAAAAGTTCCCAACACGCGAGTAGAATGCAAGCGAGCAGCCATATCTGGTGCTTGGTTTGAAAGGTTAAAGTCGGCGATCTTGGCTCTCAGGTCTTCAAATAGTAGCACATTGCTAGACCTAATATCTCTGTGAATTATCGAAGGTTGAACTTTTTCGTGCAAGTAATCCAGTCCCCTTGCTGCATCAACAGCAATCCTTACTCGCTGCATCCAATCAAGCACGGGCCCTGGTTGTGCTCCTTGCACACCCTTCCTACCTGTACATATATATATATATATATATATATATATATATATATATAAATTAAAGACTCAAGACCAACTAATTTTTTAACTTTTCGTAACAAAATAAACGTTCCCCACATATATATACATGGTTTCAAATATGAACCGTGTAATTCTTACAAGCCATACAAATCATTATATTAAAAAAACTAAGATACTAATGGACAATTATCATGATTCATTGATTACGATTGAGATATATATGGAAGATAATAAAGTTCATTCATTATGATCATGGCTTTGGATTAGGAAACAAAATAAAATCAGATATTTATTAGACTGGATGGACGGCTAAGATTGGTTTGTAAAGTTTGTTAGAATTGCATGGTTTGAAAATGAAATGTCCCCTATATATATGTGTATATATATAAATTAAAGACTTGAGACCAACTAAATTTTTTAACTTCTAAAACAAAATGAACATTCCCCATACCGTGCAATATGTCATGTAAAGATCCCATGGTTGCAAATTCATAAGCCAGGACACGGGTATTTCCGTCAACGCAGTAACCACACAACTCAACAAGATTGTCATGCTTCAGCGTTGAGACCATGGAAACCTTGAGGTTGGAAGACATGCGTTATTCGTAAAGAAAGAAAAAAGAAAAAAAGAACTATTAAAAGATCATTTTCTTTACAGAAACGTCTACTTACCTGAGTCAAAAACTCGTTATTTGATTCAGCCTCAGTAGAAACATCAAGCTTTTTCACAGCCACGGTTTTTCCATTATCTAAGGTTGCAAAGTAAACCCTTCCATATGAACCTTCACCGATCAATGCCTTTGATCCAAAATTCTCGGTTTTTTCTTTCAGTTCTTCGAGTGAAAGTGCAGGCACTTCGATTGTAGGTACTGCTTTATGCACGTCAAATTTGACCGGAGGTGTTGCTTTTGAGTCTTTTTGCTGCCCTACATTACATGTAGAGATAAAGGCTTTAAAACACTATGCACGGTTTGTATGGTTATATAGGCCTCAATAGGTTGTAAAACAACAAGGGTGTGTTTGGTTTGAGGTAATTGGTAGGATTTGGACTTGAATTACATTCCAATCCCGCGATTGGTTCAAATGAAAATCCGGAATTGAAATCCCAGAAACATTGGATTTATATATTCCATGAGGGTAGTTGGTATTTCACGCGATTTCATAGGATTTGTTCGTAAAGATGTTCTGAAATGTGTTAAAAGAACATTTGTTTTGTAATAATCAATTAATAAAAGGTAATGTAATTATTTTTTATAATACGTTTTTGTAAGATATCTATAAATAATGGAATTCAGTTCCGCTCCAAATCCTACAAACCAAACACACATAAGGGGTTGTTCGGTTTGATGGAACGGTTTTGAGGGATTTGGATTTCATGGAAAGATTTGGAACTGGAGGGATCTGGATTTGGAAGGATTTGGAATCTTTGGTGTGATGGATTTGGAATGGAATGGGATTCCATTTTTATAAATAATTAATAAAAGAAATAATTAATATAATTAAAAAATCTTTTTATTAATGAATTATTATAAAACAAGTGTTTTAAACATATTTTAAAACATTATTATATAGAAATCCTATGAAATCTCGTGAAATCCCAACCACCCACGTGGGATTTCAAAATCCTAGGATTTCAAATCCGAACAATCCTGCAAACCAAACATGAATTTGAAATCCAAATCCATTCCCGCAAACCAAACGGACCCTAAAGATTCAAATCCCTCTAATTCCACATCCATCCACGAAATTCAAATCCCTAAAAAACATTCCGTCAAACCAAACGGACTCGTAGACATTCTACATCTATCATAACCAAAGAAAGAGAGTTGAAGCAAAATGCATAGCAATGAGTATTTAGAATGGAAAGAAAAAGCAGAAGATAATTAAGAATCCAACAGTGTCTAGAATTTAACAAGCTTTTTAAAATGAGTTGGGGTATGCTAAAAATGAGTAGCTTAATGATATAGAAATTACTCAATAAGTTTGTAGGGAGAACTTTATGCAGAAAGCCAAGCTTCTTCCAAACCTGTCCTTCCCAATTAAACCTTCCAAATCTATACAAGAGCTTTATCCAAACAAGACTTAGGGGTTGTTTACTTGCGGCTTAATTAGGCTTATTGGTCTATCTGGCTTATTCGTACAGTTCATTTGGGTTGTTTACTTACGGTCTATTCGTACAGAACATGGCTTAATTGCATAGATAGAAATGGTGTGTTGTCCCCGTTCAGCAACAAAAATGACACTCCTACCCCTTATTTAAAGCATCGCCTCCTTCCCAAATGAGACACCCATCGTCAACCTCTTTATGATTTTTTGTTTTGATGTTCAAATAATTAATATTGGGGGGTAAATCGGTCATTTATGTTATTCAGACTGTTGGTTCAGATAAAAAAAGTAAAGAACAACACCCATTCATCCAGACAGACAAATTTATCTGGACAGACAAATTTATCCATACAAGACTTCATAAAAAATTTGGTAAACAACCCCTTAGGGATTGTTCTAAATAGCGTGAGGCGTGGCGTGGCGTGGCGTGGCTGCAAAGCCAAGCCTCAAGCCATGGAAGCTACAGCGAAGTCACGACGTTGTTCAAGGCGTGACTTATGGTGGCAAATCTCTATATCATATATAATATAATATACATAAACATATGTTTTCTGCTATTACTCAATGAATCATTGATAATAAACAATTTAAATTAAGTTATATATTAAAAACTAACAAACAAGATATTAAAAAGATAAGTAAAATCAGATATTGTTTTATAAAAACCGCGCATTAAGCCATGATGTGCCTCACGCTTAACGTGGCGTGACACGAGCCTTGAGCCACGGCTGCGCACCATGGCTGCTGTTGCGGCGAGCCTTTTTGAACATTACTTAGCAACTTAATGAGCGTAATGGGACTCACAACTTATTCGGTCAGCTATACATAATTGTTTGGTAGTGGCTTAATGATACAGAAAATGGCTTTTTCCTTAAGCTACTAGGGAGAGTTTTATGCCGAAAGTCAAGTTTTTTTCAAACCCGCCCTCCAATTAAAAAACAGGCTCTTTCCATCTATGAACAAACCCTCCCAAACAAAACCCTTCTCAATTTATAAAGACAGATTAATCCACACAGACATCTTTATCCATACATGCTTAATGGAAAACCAACCAAACAACCCCTTAATAGAAAACCAACCAAACAACCCCTTACTATCATACGTTATTTAACGAGGCAAGGCAGAGGGAGAGGGTCATATCTAGTTGTGGAGCATACCATCACTGTGATCACTGTGGTTTTTTACCAATCCGTTGTCATTTGGTGGGTAACGCTCTTCAACTTGACAAGTACAACACAGCCACCTCCGCATCCTATCTCTCTTCCTCAAAATTAGATCGTCTTTAGCTCTTGGTTTCCCCAAACGTCCAAAGTATGCAGGAGGAGGTGTATGCAACTGCACAACCATAGAAACACGTATACAAATAAATAAATCATCGTTCAATACACAACCTCAAACATAATCATAAAGATAAAAGATTTGCATCCAACAAATCGATTTTCCCATCCACGAACAAATACTAAATATCCTTCATCGCCTATTCGATCATCTATACGTATAAGATGTTGCCTAAAAGGTCTTCACAAGTTTAGGGTACATCTGAAAGGGGAACCCAAGACTTTTAAACATTCTACAACCAATGAATTACAATTTCAAGTGGGACGCCATTGAAATCTATCTTTTTTATCAACAATTTGGGCTTAACAACAAAAATCAGAAGGCATGGCCATGTATATCAAAGATCTCGACCATATGCACCAAATGTGATCACAATCATATGGATTCTTACCACTAAACCACGAAAACGAAGACGGGGATCCATTACAATGTTACAATTACAATCGGAAAACAAACAAATCCAATAACAAAAAGAAATCGAGTTCTACTTTCCTCCAAGGAATAAATTTAAAGTAAAAAAAAGGAAAATGAAACCCAATTGGGTAAATCAAGCAAATATTCAACAAAGGAAACCCAATTTAAGATTCAATCTGAGCGTAACACCCAAAAAATTGAAAAAAACTAAGACGATCCGGTAATGGAAGACTACGGAGAAGAGGAAGGAAGGGTTCCTTATCAAATCTAAGATTAACCGGTACAATTAAACCACAAATTAGGATTAAAATGTCCCAACAAACCCTTGTTTGAAAACTGAAAAAGCAACCATCCTCGTAAATGATAAATTAAGCAAACCGGAATTGAAGGATTACCTGTCTTACTTCTGTCACTTTGGGGTTCTTGATTTAGGGCTTTGTTTTTATCGTGTTTTTCAGGTATCGAGAATTGGGGAAAGACAGATAAGCAAGGAGCGATTGGAAGAAGAGGAGGAGAGAGAAACAAAGGGGGTCATTAGAGAGAGATAGAGAGAGAGAGAGAGTGAATGAGGGTTTAGAAGTTAAATTACCATCAATAGAAGAAGGCGGTGATGGATTCCATTTTCAAGATTTCTTTAGCGCAATTAGTTTTGCAACGGCCAAACAGGTGACATCGATATGTCCCATCAAATCAGATATGTCAATTAAGATATTTTCAATAACTACAAATTGCATCATACACTTACCGGCTAAAATCTTAATCCATCAAAATGGTATTATATGTAATAATTTACCTGATAAGCATTAATCATGATAAGAATTGTCACTCTCACTTAACGGGTAAGACCCTTGATCTTTGTTTTCGCACTTACCAAATAAGATTCTTGGTCCTTCAAATGTTCATCTGTTAAGATAATGTGACTTGATAAACTCTTACCGAGTAAGCATTTAGTAAACGACCCCTTAGCCCTTGTTTGTTTTAAAACAACTCTTATCAGACTCTTTTGTCTAATTCGGTAAGAGCCAGGATCATATAAACTGTTTGTTTTTTTTTTTTTCAAATTTTCAGAGACACTTTTGTCTTACCATTTTCGTATATATATTAAAAGGTAAACCGACCCTTATTTGTCTCGTATTCGTATTGTTCTCCAAACCCTCAACATCTGACGTTTCTCAATCACTCTTCTCTCAATTTAATAACCTTAATTTATTTAAATTTGTTTAAATGTATATAAATTCAATATTACAATATTTTGAAGTGGCAAAATAGATAATTATACAAGTTCAAATATCTACTGCTTCACAAAAACCAATAGTCTTATTGGTTATTATTTCAGACTTCGGCACCAAATCTCATCAATCAGAAATGAAATAAGACTTCAGACGTTAGCACATCTTAAAAAACAAGCAACGCCTTACTGTGTAAAACTCTCACTCCTTGCTGTGTTTTTTTACTGGGTAAGATTGCAGGTCTGTGTCATACCCAATTGGTAAGGTAAGTGACAGTAGTAAGCACATACCCATTAAGTGTTTACTAAATGACCCCATAATTTATTTTTAAATTTACTGAAAAATATTTGAGTAGTTACTTGGGAACAAGATCCATCACAAACCTCATTTTCATTAAGAGTTCAGGAGGACCAGAACCATAGAGAACTTGTCATGTATCCATATTCATAATGAATATGGACATGAGATTCATATGAATGTTTGTATTCATTATATGTTTTGTTAAAAATTCATGGCCACATTCATTATGTGGCGTGCTCTCAGTGATTCCTTAGTTCTATACAAAAACGAGAACATTTATTAGTGTTATTTAAATATTGGTAAATTACAATAGTTTTTTCTATGGTGTCATTTGTTTTTTAAGAGGTACTAAAGTTTGAAGTCTGATTTCATTTATGATATATAAGAGATCGTTCTGAAGTCTGAAATCTGTATTAGTAAGATTGTTTGTTTTTTACGTCTGAAGTCTGAAATATAAAAGATAAATAGTTTTTTTTTATAAAAGTATAAAAGATGAATAGTTTTTGCTAACAAATATCGTCCAGTCCCCAAAATATGAACCATATAATAGAAAACCGATTAGGATTAAGAGGTATTAAGGGATACATTTACCACTTAAAAATTTAGAGGACATTTAGAAAAGCTCTTATTTTAAAAATAAAACAAACGCTCTTAATACCCAAACGTTTGAACGAATCAGACTTCAGAGGTATTAAGAGGTAATTTTGAAAAAACAAGCGGGACCTATAAGTTAGTTTTTCAAACATAATTAGAATAAAAGTAATTTATTGTTTACATTAAATCCGATCAAAATTTCATCAAAAAATGACAAAATGACAATTGAGATCGAAATAAAGCACGGGGAAATGCATGAAAAACTTGTACGATACATCTAAACATCCCCATCAATGACAACTCTGTCGCCCCCATTCCCCTGTCATCGAGCCCCTACTCTTTCCTTTTTTCCTCTATTTCGAATTCCATTTAATGTTTTCGCCATTAAAAGTTTGTTTTTTTAATGTTTTGACCGCAAACAGTTCGTAATCATGATTATTTTACTCGTTTATAATCTTATCCACACAAATCAGAATATCAGCTAAGCACTGAGTATACAGCACTCGAGAACTTTTGGTAATTATATAAAAATTGAATGTTTGAAATATCTGGTCAAAGATTAATTGATTGACCCTACGACTCAATTGAAATTATAAAAAAGTGAAATAAGTATAAGATTGACCAAGATGAAGATTTCAACACCTTAGGAAATCGAAACAGTGACCAAAATTATAATTTTAATAAACTGATATGTATTTATTTAAATAAACTGAAATATTAAAAACAATAAAAAGAACGTTTTACAGGCTGATACAGTTCCAAACTCATCTTACATTAGGGCCAACGACACAATAGGGCCAATAGCCATGACGTGGCATGCACGTCGGCTTGCCTCGGCCTATTTGCAAGAGAACATGCCATCGAGGATCTGAGTGGCAAACCGAACCAAAGTTTGAACTTGATCTTGACTCGACGTCATGGTTAACACCATTATAACCGTTCATTTGGATGATATATACATTTGCATACAAGTAATTTGTAAGGAATTTGTCTGGTATGTACATATACATAAAAACCAAAAAACAGCTTCAGTTACTTATCATTTATACTAATGATTTTCAAAATGTTCCTCGTTTTTTTGGGGTTTTTTCTGAACGTTCCTATAATATTTTATATTTAAATGACCCTTTCTATGTTTTTTTTTGGAAGTATATAAAATTTATATACAACAAATAAAAAGCCAAAGACTACGATACCGCTAGACCAAACAAATGCCATTTGATATTTTTATGTTTATTTTGTTTGAATACATTTTATTTTTGGTGTCAAAAAATATGAACATTATAAATTACTATAAACTTCAAATGGAAGCCCACAAAAGAAGACTTGGTTGGTGGTCTAAAAGAGTGGCTGCACCCATAAACACACCAGAAAAATAAGGTGAAGTACAAGAACAAGAACCGACACAAATCCCTAGAAAGGTACGAAATCTGATTGCCTTGATTTCTTCAGTCAATTGAATTGTGAATTACTGTTTGCTTCATGAGAAATCCGGGAGTTTTGAGATTCATGTGTAACATCACTAGTTATTATCATCGATTTCTTGACTTTTTTGGGCTGTGTTCGTCACTATGTTTGCAAATCATCATAATTGAGCCGGATATCGGTTGATGATCTCTGATTTATCTTGTCGATCTCGTGTTGTTTTTTAAGGGCTTTGAATTGCATCCTTATAGTTGAGAAAAACAGGCTACCAGAAGTGAGGAGACAATTGTGTTTGGTTATGAATTAGGGTTCTGAATTGAACAATTGAACTCCACGATGATTTGTTCAATATCAACTTCATCGGCTTGCTGCCAAAATCACCTTTCAGAATGCATCAAATTTAGATTTTCGTAGTTTCCATTGCCATAATTTCAACCGTATCATTTAGGTTTATTCTTGGTTCCCAAAGAAGAAGACACCTAACCCTCAGCAAGTACAAAAGAATTCATGTATTTCGAACGTTCCTTTTGTGTATTGGATACGCTACTATTTAGCAAGCGTCACAATGATATTTGATCTTTGTAAAAGATTTGTATATGGATAGTAATGATTCTCTTTTTTTGGCTTGCACCTAGAATCTTGAAAAACATTCATAGGGCTTCCCATGGTAGCAGGTTGTATTACTAAACCAAACTAAACAGGCCCGATATATCCCATCCAGAGATGGGGTATGGGGGTAAGATGTACATAGATCTTATCTCTACCCTAAAGAGTAGAGTGACAATTTCCGTTGAACCCGGCTAGTGAAATATGTGGGAAAAGGAGAAAATTAGATGTGTAAAAGAAATTAAAAACTAGATAGGAGTGAATAACAATAATTAAACTAGGCAGCAGGTTATATTATTCCTCAATTCAAGTTAGAATAGGTGACGAGTAAATATTTGCTTGCCTCACTCGGTAACATGAAGATCCTAATGGTCATGTATCTTATACAGATGGAACGAGCCATTTCCAATCTTGCATTTAGAGGTTCTATTCTTGAAGCAATCACTGAAGCCAAAAGGCAGAAAAAGCTTTTCGTAGTTTACATCTCAGGTAACTGTTCTCTTTCAGGATATGTGCTTTTATTTGTTCTCCCACTTGTAGATACGATAAGTTATGCAGACAAACTTGTTATCTATTCTTTTGCTGGCATTGATTGATGGCTCGAGGCTCGTTGAGGAATATAGAAATCAACATTTTGGCATCGCAATACATGACGTCGAGGGTGCCTAAGTGTATATTGAAATATTACATGCGAATAGCATTACTGCAAATGTTTAAAATTTGGTAATGTATACTGAAATATTAGAAAGTAATATGATCAATGGAAGCAAACCTTTTCACATGGACATTAGAAAATTATATCTGCTTGTTTAAAATGCATTGTTTTTGGTATTTACAGGAGATGATGAAGTTTCAGCCTCAATGGATGAATCTACGTGGTCAGAGTCAAGTGTGAGTTATTGTCCAATATGCTTTCTTCCTCAAATAAACCGAACTAAATTGTTCCATCTCATGATGTACTGTTTGGTCTCTAATGGGAGCTGGCTGCATTTAGGTGGCAGAGTCACTACCAAAGTACGCCATTTTGTTGCACATCTTAGACGGAAGCACAGATGCATCTCAATTTTCTGCATTATGTATCCTTTGATTCTTTAAAGTTCTTGGCCTCTTCGTTACGGTTGTATCATTCTTTTTTCGGACAGTAAGTGAAAGATTTTATTTTCACCGAGATCACATGATTAAAAGTAGGTTATGCTTTTCTTTATACATGTATGGCATTCCTTGCATCAACTTGAATAGACCCACAGAAACCTGCTCCTTGTATAACAGCTATCGGATATAACGGGGTCCAACTATGGCAAAATGGTAACCTTACAAGTTACAACCATGGATAATATATTTATTTTTCTGGGTTTTGTGTTTTTGGATACCTTACTTTTCACTTACTGAATTTCTATTTGTTGTCTGCTTCCATTGAATCAACGAGCAGAGGGCTTTGTCAGTGCTGAGGTTCTGGTTTCAACCCTTGAGAAGGCATGGTTGAGTCTTCATGTTCAGGTTGTTTATGCATCTTCATTGTCGTACGAGCAGAAGGCTCCTTGATGCATTTTTTTTTTTTTGGTAATTCTGGTTGTCCGGAACAGCTTGTGTGCACCTCGATTAATCTCATGGGGCCCTGAAGATAACAGTCATGAAAATCCTCAGTGGCCCTGGAGAGACTCAAACCGGCGACCTATGGGCTGGAACCCCAAGGCCTAGCCTTTATTTGTGCTGGGCCTTGCATCAGATACTTATATTGTGAGGTTGAGTGAAGTATAGAGTCCATGAATGCCATAAAATGTTTTTTTTTCCTACTCTTTTGCTTCACGTGGAGTCGTTTTCTGGCTAGAAGTTGTGCCTGACTTGTTAGCAAAAATATAACTGCATTTTCTTAAACAGGAGACAACTGCCTCTTTCTTGACTGCAGCACTTGCCTCGAGACAATCTGAACAAATTCCATCAGAAGCTGCTCCTACCACTGCACGTGAAATTGGAAGTTCTTCTTCAACACCATCAAGTAATACAAATGCTAGTGCTTCAGTGGACAAAACCGACATAGATCATGACAAAGAAAAATCTAAGAACTCTGCACCACTGATTGAGGTAACTCTATTGACTCCTGCTTGTTTAACCTGCTTTTATCTTTTTCTCTTTTGGTAACCATGGGTGTCCGGACCAGCTTGCACACACCTAGACTAATCCCATGGGACCCTGAAGATAACAACCAAGAAAATATTTTGCGACTCTGAGGAGACTCGAATTGGCGATCTATGAGGAGGAAGCTAATTAGTTGAGCTGACCCTCAAGGCCTTAGCCTGTTTTTGTCTTTGTTATTCTCACAGCGGGGTGTTTTTTTAATTACCTGGACAGGAAATAAACTCAAAACTTGGTGATGATGATGTGTCTCATGGGCCATTTGTCAATAAATTGGAAGAAAGTAAGGTTGAACAGCTAGATACAACAACTAGAGAACCAGTTAAGCAGGTGACCACAAGTGCAAGTGATTCTAGAGTTGACAAAAAATCGAGCTTGAATGTTGTGGAGGCTCCTCAAGTGGTTGATACTGAAGCAAAGCCTAAAAAGTCTGAAAGTTCGCAAACTGAGAAGGATGATTATTCAGATTTAGCTTCAAATAGATCAACTGATATTCATTTAAATATACGATTACCTGGGGGCACAAGTCTACAAGAGAAGTTTGAACCTACAAGCACTTTGAGAATGGTCAAAGACTGCGTGGATCAAAAGCAAGAAACTAGCATAAGCTCTTATGATCTAGCCATTCCTTATCCCCGCAAGGTTTTTGGTGACCAAGGTATACAAGCTCACTTATTATGGACTTTTGGTGTTTCTAGTATCTTTGTGCCAATGTGAACCATCATTCTATGCAGAAAAGTTAGTCAAGTTTTGACTTTTTAAGATAAAATGAGTAACTTTATGGACTTGAAATCAACACTAAGGGCAGGTCCAAATAAGAACCGTAAATATCTTGAGAACTTGAGAACCAACTATTTCATGCGTTATTCATGATGAATAGCCCTAAAACGTTCATGAATATTATTTATCATGATTTTCATTATTCGTGATCTTCAGAACGAATAACTCATGAATATTTCCTTTCTCGGTTCTCTCAAATATATACGCTTCTCATTTGAACTGACCCCTTAACACTAATTTATGCAAGTTTCGATGGTTAAAATAATTTAAATAGATAGAAATAAGTAAATCTTGATAAGTAAATTTCGTAACAGAAGCTAATAATTTTGAAGATTTATGTTCTTAGTGGCTCTAATTTTGTTATCATAAGTGCAGATTTAAGTAAAACTTTGAAGGAGTTAAGTCTGCTTGATAGACAAGCATTGATAGTGGTTCCACATCTCCGAGGTGCGGGTCATCACAAAGGACGATCTTCCACGCCCAACCCATCAGTGTCAACGAGTGCTGCTGGATCTTCAGATGGCGAAGGTTTATATTCACTTGTGAAAAGGGTTCTATCATATGTAAATCCTTTGGCTTATCTTGGGGCTGGTGGTGCTGCTGCGAACTCCTCAACTTCTGCACCGGAAACTCGAAGAAGTTTGCCGGAATCTGGTGATTTCTTGCCCTACGCTTTCAGTTCATTCACTATGTTCATTAAAACTCATGACTTTTGATATTGCATAATTGCTGATTGGGGTGAACCTTAAATGATGCAAACTGATTATAGAATGGGATAATTACAAAAGTAACCACTTTGAAATGAGTCCTAGTGTCCTACCATAAAGTGACCAATTTTTTGAGAGAATTTGATAAAATGACCACCAATTTTGCAAATCCAACTCTTTTTGGAATTTTTTTTTGTGGTGGGTCCCACTTCTAAATTTTCAATTATCACTTGTATTGGGAATTTTTTTTTTGTGTCAAGTTAATTTTTTTCGCAAAGACCTTTCATTTGTTGTGGAATTCAATATTCGCAAAACAAGTTGGATTTTGCAAAATTGGTGGTTATTTTGTACAAATTTTGGAAAAAAGGGTCATTGTGGTAGGCTCATCCAATAGTGGTTATTTCTGTAATTAAGCCTTATAGAAGTTGTTCGTTTCTTAATTATTATGTATGGGCAGGCTCTGCTCCGCAAGGCACCTTCACGGGCAGCAGATCCTACGTCGTAAGATCAAATCAAAGCGATATTACACCATCAACTGGTAGAAACAACAGGCCAAACTCATCTCGATTTGGAAGTGGAAGCAACATCCACACCCTGAAACACGATGAAGATGATAGCAAATTCAGCGGCAAAAATGCTTTCTGGAACGGGAATTCCACAGAATATGGTGGTGATGGCGACAACAAGTGAGACCTCGCGATTTCTAGAGACCTCGGTTATATATTTATTTGCAAAGACATTTACATGCATATTACATTCTCATAAGTTTCAGGTAATAAATATGTTATTTTTCAAACTCTAAACTTATATGTGATTTTACATAATCTTTCTTGATGCCCTCATATGTCAACAAAAAGAACCTTCCTAGGGCCGAAAGGGCCAGCTTCAGTGTCTGATAGTTTACTGTGCCACGCCATTTGATCTATATGGCTCTTCACCTTCACAACAATATCTACATGGTCTGCTATGATGATTGTCCCCTTAGGCCGAAGGATCCGGTACATCTCAATGAATATGTCCATAATGTCGCACCTGTGTCAAGCCATGTCAAATCAGTTGAGTTAGTAGCTTCTTTTTTAGTAACTGTGTGTGTCCCTGAAGATACCAGCCAGGATTCCCGTGGAGCACTGAAGATACCAGCCAAGATTCCCACGGGCCCTGAAGATACCAGCCAGGATTCCCATGGGGCCCTGCAGATAGCAGTCTGGAAAATCCCTAGTGGCTCTGAGGAACTCGAATTGGCAACCTATGGGAAGAAACCCAAAGCCTAGCCTTTATTTGCCGGTTGAGCTGGCCTCAAGGTTAGCCAAGTTGGTAGTTGAGAACCCCATTCGTTGGGACACACCTTTGATCCTAGTTGACCACGGAACCAGACCAACATTGACTTGTTCTGTTTGACCGTTTACGTTAAGAAATATACAGAACTTGGTAATTGAACGAAAGGGCTTACTTATTCTTGTACAAGCTAAACACGTTGTCTGCATGTATCAAGTCATATGATCTAGGATATGTTGAGAATGGTTCGCACCTGTAACCAAAAACCTGAGAGTGAGTACCAAGGGCCAGCACCACCATAGAAAAGAAAAGAAGAACTAAAAAACGAACCAATCCATGTAAGTTCCAATTAGGCCACGTTCATAGATGACACCAAGTGTTCTATGGTTTGCATCATGAGGAACAACATTCATAATCCAAACTGGATACTCAGAAAGCGAAGCTGCAAACCCACCTAGCCCAGCATTCATATCCATGATATTTCTATACCCACCAGTCGCCAGCGACTTGACCACACTCACATACCCAGAAACTCTCTTTTTCCATAACAGGTTATCATCAAGAAAATCTTTCTTTCCTAACCCAAATCCTGCTTTTGAGTGAGATATTATGGCATCGTTTGCTTTGGTTTCAGTGGACCCCATTCTGGGTGGAATAGAATTCAACCTTTTAGGCCAGTTCTCAAGAACACCCCCAGATATATTCTGCATATGATCTACTTTAGGCAGACGAGTAATGCACGAATCCATCTTTCTGTACCAACCATCATCAGGATCGTCATCCACGCCACAAAACTTGGGAGATTTAGAATCTTTCCTCGTTTGAATGCAGTGAAGATGATTATTAGGTTTTTGCCACACTGCAATCGGCCCTTTCCCACTAATCTTTTTCCAACACAGTCGCCTAGCAAGATCCTCCAAACGGCGCAGCTCTTTCTTAGGATCCTTGGTGGTTCCATCGGAGGCCATGTAGTTGACTTTCCAATTGATCGGTGGTCCCGACAACACCCAATAACCACCAGGCCGCAAAAGCCGGTCAATTTCCATTAGGTACAACCCATCTAGCAACACAACATCACCATGTAGTTATAGCATGCATAGCAATTGAAGATAGAAACGATTGTAAGTATTATTTTGGAGCAAATGACTCTTGTTTAAGGTGTGTTTGGTACCCGGGACCGGACAGTGGACATGTCAGGACTTTTTTACTCTCGTTCGTCCAATGCAGTCCTGGCAGTCTTAGTCCAGGACAGTACTGGGCAGTCCAGGACAGTCTCAGTCCAGTCCTAGGCAGTCAGTATGCGTACCAAATGCACAGGGTTCATGTAAGTACCGAATTCAGTCCATGGGACAAGGCACCGTGAGCAATGAGCCATATCGAATGATCTTGATGGGTATGGCAGCCTGTAGGTGCCAAGAACACCAAGCATGGCAGGGAGACCTCTTTCTAAGGCAAATTGTACCTGAGCTTCATGTACATCCCTTGGAGCTATAGACATTGTCAAGATGTTATAATCCATTAGAGAGTCTCCAAAGCTTGCAACCTGACATGGTTTAACCCATAGAGGTTACTCAATTATAAGATCAGGTGGGTCCCACCAAAAACACAGTAATCATGGGTGAGGGAGCCTCGTAAAATGACCAAAAAACACTAACAAAGAACATATATGATTTAGAATCTTTAATAATGAGCTTGATTTCAAGAATCTCACTTACCCCACACCCAGTATCAAGAGCTGTCCTAATAAGCCCAGATTGCAATGGCACCATCTTCTTCAATAAGTCGATGTAACCCTTAACCCCTTTCTGGAAAGAAGTTCCACCGCCGGGAAAAACCAGCCGATTGCCGGCCAATCGAACCCAATTCTGCTGTTTCTTGGACTCAGTCAGCCTCTTAAATGGCACATTACTGAACCAAGCTTCAGCTCTGCTCTTAGGCCATGGAAATGGCTTCTTGTACCCCACCGGCGTGGGTACCAGACACCGGAGAATCTCTCCGGCGGTGGCAGGGCAGTGCCGTTCTCTGTGCAACATTTTCTCAACTTTATATCGCCCTTCACGAAGCGGGTCTTGACAGGGGCAGTAATGGGTGAAATTTGCAGGGCAAATCTTGAACTTTTGTGGTGGGTTTAATGGGGGCATAGGGAGGTGGTTGTGGGGCTCAAAATCAAGCGGGGGCGGAGTGTTTTGGTGGGATAAGTTGGTGGAAATGGTGGTGAGATCGGAGCAGTTTTCTTGAAGGTTCGTTGAGGTGTTAATGGCGGATTTGTATGATCCGATAATGTAAGAAATTGAACAGATGATTGAGAGGAAGAAGAGTCTGATTAAGGGGTTCCGTCGAAGTGGGTTTTGCGGCGGCGGCGGAGGTGGTGGTGGCGACGCCGGTGACGGTGAGAGTTTAGGCATTGTAGTGCGTGAATACGATGGTGTAGTAGTGTGTGTGAAATAACTCTCAGATCTGCAAGAGTTGTTGGGTGGCGATTATTGAAGGTGACTAGGTGAGGGTATCCGTTTGGCTCTATTCCCGCTAAAATGCCACGGTGGCATTTAGTTTCTGATATGTGGCAAGATTGCCCCCTCAACTTTGTGTGTTTTAAGTTTTGAACCCCTGATTTTGTTTATTTATAATATTCTTTTTCCAAATACTCAGTAATATTAATTGAAGAAGAATATGGTCCTCGAGTTCTTTTTATTGGAACTATGTTTCTATTTCTTTTTTTTTACTAAATTGAAAACTTTACGCACAAACCATCTTTCTTATATTTCAATTTCAATGTTTTATTTTATTTTTTTGGTCTTTGTTATGTGGTTTTGAGCAAACAATAATGTTTTTTCTTAACAAAATATAAATTTGAAGATATCATAATAATTAAAAAAATATAAAAGTTCTCATTTTTTTGTGTAATTTTTTTAAACTATTTTTATTTATTATAATTTAAGTTAGGATTGATGATCAAATAATTTATTTTTGGTTTAAAAATATAATCTTTTTGAAGATAATAACCAAGTATTATGTTAAAACTCAATATTTATCTTAATTATATTTTAGATTTTATATTAAAAATAAGAATTTTATCTTATATTTGATTATATTTATCTACAGTGAGTTACATGAATTCAAACATGGAACTTAATAAATTGTAATTACGCATAATTACTAGTAATTTTGAATTTTAAGTAATATGCATCAATAAACAGTACTTCATGTATAAAAGATGGTTTTTAAGAGTTTTTTGTCAAATACGTTAAATTAATATTAAATTATCAAATAAATAATAGATATTTATCTTTTGTTATATTAAATTGATGTTGGAGGGAGAATAATGAAAGAAAACATAAATGGCATTTTATATAAAATTTATTCTAAAGTTTATTCTTGCATTTAATGCAATAAATATTATAAATATCCATGATTAATAACAGAATTTTTAAAATTATAAAAACTTAAATAAAATAATATATATATATATATATATATATATTTAAGATTTTAAATTTTCTTCTTTATTTTAATAGATTTTTGAAGATCTCCTTATAACAATACACTAACATCTATACATTTATTATGATTTAAAAATAAACTAAAATGATACTTACGTAATGCAGCGAGATAAATCTCGATTTTAATGTTTAGTTTTTATTCTTTGTCTTTATCAATATAATACGATTTTATGTGATTTTAGAAAACGATAATGTTTTTATTTTTGAATAAAATATAAATTTGAAGATAACATAAAATTTTGAAAAAAAATCGATATTAATATCAAATTAACTATTTAATAGTTTTCGTTTTTTGGTGTAACTTTTTTAATTGAATTTTTTATATAATTTAATTTAAATTTAATAATTAAGTAATTTATTTTTTGTTTAATAATATAAGTTTTTATAAATATAATAATTAAACATTTTGTTACAATTCAATAATTATCTTAGTTATATTTTTGATTTTCTATATTTAAAATGTATGTTTATCTTGTATTTGATTATGTTTATCTGAGCTTTTTACACGAATTTAAAAATAAAGTTTTAATAAGTTGTACTTATGCAAAATTACTTATAATCTTGAATTTTAAGTAATATGCATCATTAAACAGTATTTCATACATAAAAAATAGTTTTTAAATTTTTTTGTCAAATGTTCTATAATATGGTATAGATATATAAGAGTTTTTTTAAGAGTTTTTTTTTAAGTCAAAATCTTTTAACTACATTACATTTACCATTTAATAAAATTTAATTATATATTATTAATCAGCATGCAAAATAGGGGAAAAAGTATATATATACACAATACTTGAATGCAATCTGAGAGTCCATTCTCGTAATTTTAGGATTCCGTTTTGTGTAGATTCAGCAAAACCCTCTTTTCAAAACCTCGTTTCTCGATTTAGTCAAGAACCCCTCTTTCGTTCTTCACTGTCTACCTCAATTCTTCATCATCAAACCATTCATAAACACTTTCTGTTCTTCTTCTTTTTTGCATTTTTAACCCAATTTTAAGAACCCCAAATAAATTCCTCAGAACAACAAGAATGGGGTTTTTGTGATTTGGGAATTCTGGGGTTTCTTGATTTTGGTTTTTTTTCTTGAGAATTTATTGGAATTCTCGTAAAAAAAGAGGGGATTTTGTGTTGAAATCATGGTTGGTTTTAAGGGTTTTTTTACAAAGAAGACATTGTTGGGACTTTTATTGGGTCAGGTTCTCTCTCTTATTGTCACCTCAACTGGTTTTTCATCATCTGAGCTTGCTAGAAGAGGTTTGTTGCTTTCATTATCTGAGCTTTTGTTTGTATTTCTACTGATGATTTTTGATGATATTTCCCCCTTTTTTATATTAAAAAGGAGACACAATTGAGTCTTTTTGTGTGATATGGTTAACATCCCAATGAGAATAATGCTGAATTATGTTCATAAAGATATCTGATTTTCATGTTTTGCAATTTAGTTTGTGCTTATGTGATCATATCCATCCAAGCAATTTGGGTCTTTGATGGTTATATAACCGTAAAAAAAAATGAAAAACTGAGGTACACTTTAGTAATCATTCATCTCGATGGTATGTATATGTGCATACAAGTGATTTATAAGTAATTTTTTCAGTATACACATGTGCGTAACATGCATAGATGCATAGAAACCTATAAACATCTTCAATTACATGTATGCACATGTAACAGATGAATGGTTATTAGGGTGTTCCTTAGTATTTTATTTTTGGGGGTTTTCCCTTAAACCCCCCTCTCTCTATATGTATGTATGTATGTACTAATTTCATGTCATTTGGTGTAACTTAGGAATCAATGCACCAACGTCACAGTCTTTAGCGAACTATGTGTTGTTGGCGATCGTTTATGGTGCAATTCTGATTTGCAGGAAAGATGGGATGAAGGTTGGTACCTTCAATCTATCTTTATTCTCATTTGAAAGCTTCTTGAAGTTGATCCTTTTATATAAGATTCGTGAATTGTGACGATTGAAGTTGCAGTGCGTGTTGCTTCATTTTCGGGGGATAAACAAATTTCATTCATAAATTGGGATAAGTAACTGAAAAAGATGATAAAAAAGTATCAAAAGGGAGTATCTGGTGGCCTCACAATACAATTATTGACTTTTCAAACCACTGTAGTTGGTTTATAATCGCAAACCCCTAAACCTTAAACCCTAAACACGACCATTTTTCTTGAGAAAATGGAAAAAAGTGACCCCACACTTCGTTTATATTCTCACAGTTTGTCCAAAAAACCTTAAACCCGACCATCTTGCTTGGTCTTTTGGTAGCATGTTCTTATTCTACGATCTTGTATCTTCACTTTATGATTATGATTTCCGTTACCATTTCACAAACGGCCAATTCGTATTATGTGAACGTTTGCAGGCAAAATGGTACTACTATTTACTTCTTGGCCTTGTAGACGTGGAGGCAAATTATCTTGGCAAGTCTTCTACCATTACGTTGATCATCTTCCGTTGCATTTGTGGAAGTATTTATAGCTACATATGATCCATACAGTAAAAATTGTCTGTCTGTGAACTCCATGCCACTCGTCTACCAATTATGTGAAGACACATCATCACTTTATTGAAGAAAGAGAATAAAAAGATGAATTAAATAAAATAATGATGTGTCTTTACATGATTGGTGGGACACGAAAGTTCATGTCCCCCTGTCCCCAAACTCCATGTCCACCTATCCACCAATAATGTGAAGTCATGTTATTACTTTATTGAGGAGAGAGAATAAAAAGATGAATTAAATAAAGTAATGATGTGTCTTCACATGATTGTTGGGACAGTAAGGGACATGGGGTTCGAAGACAACTGATTTTTATTCTGATCCGTAGATACATAATTTCATGTGAAATATAACGTCGGGTGCCAATTAATTTTTTAAAATTTACGTGTTTCTTTGAGCAGTGGTGAAGGCATACCAGTACACATCGTTAACAAGTGTTATGCTGCTCGATTGTTGGGCCATCCCCGTGGTCATAGTCCTCACCTGGCTCTTCTTGAAGACAGAATACAAGTTCATGAGAATTGCGGGTGTTGTCATTTGTGTTTCTGGTCTCGTGCTCGTTATTTTTTCAGATGTACACGCAGCAGATCGTTCACGTGAGCATACGATCTTAACCCCATTTTCGTTTTCCATGAAAATTTGAGTAAATTCTTAGGCTTCATATGTCTTAATTCACAAATGAATGTTTATGCTCAGAGAGTGCGAGCAACCCTGTTAAAGGAGACTTGTTGGTCATTGCTGGGGCTACGCTTTACGCTGTCAGCAATGTTAGCGAGGTGCGTTTGAAATAGGATGTGGTGTTTTAGACCTCTGTCTATTGAAACAGAGGTAAGGTCTGCATACATCTTACCCTCCAAGACTGTACCTCCTAGTGGCACTATAACAAAATCGTGTTTATGAGGCCAAAAATTTCTTAAGTGTCATAAAAGACTACTTTATAGGACTTAAAGTTTATAGGTCCAAACATATATGTGTCCATGTGAGTGTTGCAATAGGTTATAGGACGTTTTCGGGTGTCTTAAATAGTTTTTTACGACACTTTTGAAATAAAGCGTCATATTAAATTTTTTACTCGACATTATTTGAAAAAGCGTCCTATAAAAAGATGTGTTTATAGAACACTTCTCATAAATGCGTCCTATAAGAAAGCTAATAGGACACTTTATTTTAGAAGTGTCGTAAAAAACTATTTAAGACATCCAAAAACGTCATGTAAACCTATTGCAACGCTCTTACATAGGACACATATATGTTTGGTCCCATAAGACAGTTTATTAATAGATTTGTGGCGGCTTATAAACCTGATTTTGTTGTAGTGTGAAAAATACTGGGTCTGTTTAGTTTAGTTTGGTTTGGTTTATCTGATGTTTTAAATATCTACTTGCTAGAATCAACTTGGTAAGAAGAAACATGAATTGTTCGCCACTAATCTACGTTACAATTCTCGTGCAGGAGTTTTTTGTAAAAAAGGCGGCCGATAGGGTCGAACTCATGGCAATGTTGGGGCTCTTTGGTGCCATTTTTAGTGCTATTCAAATGTATCCTTTTATACCTGCATCTATTGTTATACTTCTTTCGCTCTATAATAATTGCAATAGTTGGCTTTTTACTATTGGTGAAATGTCTAAAATACCCTTCGTTAATTATGAAATCTTGTTAAATTATAAATTGTGGTATCAATCTATGGTTACTTTGTGGTCTTCAATGATGTCCGTAGAAGCGTGCTTGAGAAAGAGGAACTCAAATCCATCCACTGGTCTTCTGGCGCGGTACTCTCTCTGTCTCTGTGTGTGTATATATATAACCATTATTTGTCCGGAATGCTCATGTACATAAAAGTAATTTCTTCAGTATGCACATGTGCATAAAATACTGCAAACATTTTCCTTCACTTTATGCATACTAGACAAATGAATGGTTATTCGGGTGTTCCTCGGTTTTCAGTTTTTTGTGGTTTTCCCCGGAACCTGAATCTCTCTCTCTCTCTCTCTCTCTCTCTCTCTATATATATATATATATATATAGGTGTAGGTATGCAGGGGATAGTTCAAATGAGAACCATGACTCCATGAGAACCAATATATATATATATATATATACATATATATATACATACATATATATACATATTGAGGGAGGTTTAGGGGAAAACCCCCAAAAATGAAAACCTAGGGAAAACCTTGGTCTGGTAACCATTTATCTGTATAAAAGTAATTGAAGTTGTTTCTTGGTTCCTATGCACGTGTGCATCTTATGCATATGTGCATACCGGATAAATTGCTTAGAAATTACTTGTATGCACATGTGCATACTGTTCAGATGAACAGTTATCAGGGTGTTTCTCAGTTTTACATTTTTTTGTGTTTTTTCTCTGAACCCGGCCCATTGCATATTTATATACACACACACACACTATCAAAATATGTATTCTTTTTATGTGTATGTATGTATGTATGAAAGGTCCATGTTCTTTGTTTGTCTTAGGTGCTTCCATATGTTGGATTCGCGGCAGCAATGTTTCTATTTTACTCAGGCGTGCCGATCCTGCTTAAAGTGAGCGCTGTCCAGATTCTTTATATGCATCATTTTAAACTTAACGGATTTATTTGAGGTTTTTCCGCCATGCAAAATTTGAGAACTGTAATTGAAGTTTGATTGTGTCGTAAAACGCAGATGTGTGGCTCTACGATGCTAAATCTGTCTTTGTTGACATCAGACATGTGGTCGGTTCTGATTCGCGTTTTTGTGTACCACGAAAAGGTTAATGATATCGAGCTTATTTTTTGATTCTTAAACTTCAATGATGTCTTTAAGGATTCAAGAACGTTTTCGAAACTGATGTTGGCATACATCACCAGGTCGATTGGATGTACTTTGTAGCGTTTGCTGCTGTTGCTGTCGGGCTGGTTGTTTATTCAGCGTACGTTTTCTATTGCACCCTTTCATGCACTTTTCACGTGTTGGGTTTCTTCACAGAAACAACTGCTCTATTCTTTGGGTAGAGGTCACATGTGCGTACAAAAGATGCACAAGGCCTGGGCTTTTTCAGGCCTGGGCCCGTCCTGTCCAAGCCTGATTTTCAGTAAGCAAACAAAGGGATTCTCGGGCTTTTTCAAGCCTAGGCCGGGACGGATCGGATCGGGCTTCGAGGTTGATAGAGGGCTTGGTCGGGCTTTTCAGATGGTGGCTCAAACCGGTCTTGAAAGAAATGGTTGTCCTGATCAGGCTTTTAGGGCCTGGGCTCGGGTTTACTAGGCCCAGCCTGGTCTTTAAAGGCTGTTTTTCAATAAGCAAAAAAGATGAAAGAGGGCTTGGTTGGGCTTTTCTAGACCGGACTTTTAACTGGGCCTTGAAAAAAATAGCTGTCCTTATCGGGCTTTTAGGGTTGTCTGAGCCCAGGACCAGGCTTTCGCTTTTTTGTGCATCTATAGCTTACATCTTACCACCCTCCCCCGGACCCCACTTCAGATGGATATATTGGGTTCGTATCAGTTGTTTATCTTTAGGGTTGAAAAGAGAAAGATAAACGGTTTTTCGCAGGTTTGATAAAGAAGTAAATGAAACCGGTGAACAAAGGAAACATGATGACGAGGAAGTTGGAGTGACGAGTTTAGGTAAGTTGAACACGATGGTTGGGGACTCGAATACAACTATCGGTGAACGTAGCGTGTAAGAAAGATACTCAAGGACTCGAGTGATAAAAAAGATTTGATCTCAGACTGTTTTTTTTCTTTTTTCTTTTCCCGAACTTAACAAAGAAATAATCTCAAAGTTTTTTAGCAAGGTTTGTTTTGATATTAATTTTAGTCTGGTAATACAGTTTAAACGGCAGTTTGAGTATTATTTTGAAATAAAATTTATTTGAAGAAAGAGTTCGTGATCACATAACAGTATATTTACTCTTTGGGATACAGGAAATGTCATGTATATTTTTTGAAGTTTTCTTAATATTGTTATATTAATGAATATTTTATATTTTTTTAATTAATTTAATAAAATAACCAATATTTTATAGATTTTTTAAAATGGAGATTTCGAGATTTTTGTTTTAACAGATTAAAAAAAATTAAAATGGAAAAAGTAGAAGATAGAGTGAAAAATTTTAAATATGGATCGGATATCTTATTAATAAAATTCATATTGTAATCTTTAAAATGGAGAAACTGTTGAAGATGAATATAAATTTTTTTTTTTAAAATTTTGACTTTTGATTTTTTATTTTGGAGATGCTCTAAAAATACCATAAAAAGTCTTGAAGTTACTGAAACCGACAAAATCTAAGGAACTTTTATATTTTGAACAATTAAGTCACCGGACATTTATTTTGAACAGATAAATCCTTAAATTTATGAAACAAAAGAACTGTAAAATTTATATCTTGATGTTTCAACAGATCAAATGCAGAACACATTAACCAATAAAACGGAATGAATATACCATTTTCATCAGCCATTATTCATTTTATAGATTAAAATGACAATCACATGAAAGTCTACTGATTATCTATTTCTTAGACTCAAATAGCAGTTATTGAAGAAGCTACTGATTATTTATTTTTAGTTTCAAACGACGATCACAGGATAATGACAAACCAATATTTGTGAAATTTAATTTGAAACCCCCAAGGTCGATATTTACGGATATGATATTACGAATTCAAGAAAAACGGGTTTTGGGCCGAATCTATAGTAATTACGGACCTGGGCCAAAAAACTCTAGAATTTTGTCGTTTAATGGGTCCACAATAATTACGGACCTAGGTATTATGAACCTATTGACTTTTGGGTAAAGTTTGAAGAGAAATGATTTGGGATAAACTTTTCATAGATGAAAAAGTTGTGCCTTTTTAATTCAGATGAATAAATTTAAAAAAATTGACATTTTTACTAAATGTTTATCCGGATAAGAGTTTACAAAATCACATCACCTTATCGATAAATATAGTCATTTACGAAACACTTAGCTGGTAAACGCTTACCGATAAAATTAAATATTGTCACTTATTTACCGGTTAAGATTTTAGTTCACAAAAATGGAATTATATGCAACAATTTACCCAGGTGAACATTAACATCGTCCTCACTTACCGGGTAAGACTCTCGGTCCTTCCGTTGCTCTTACCGCGTAAGATTCTTGGTTCTTACCGCGTAAGATTCTTGGTTCTTACCGCGTAAGATTCTTGGTTCTTACCATATTCATTCAGTAAGGTAATCTAACTTGGTAAAAGCTTATCCTAGTAAAAGTTTGGTAAACGGTTCTGATAAATCTTACCCGACAATAACGAGACCGAAAGTCGTACCTGATAAATGAAGATGACGACTTTTACCATTGGTTAGCGCTTGCTGAATGATTTGTTACATACTTATATACGATATGGTTTTGATAGATGAAACTCGATCATTGAACCTTACTCCGTTTACTAAACACTTATTTGGTAAGTGTTTATCAGATAAATTTTCTTATTGGATGAACATGAGAATGGCCAAAAATCTTACCGGTAAGAGCGATGAGAAGAATGAAGAGTCTTACCCGGTAAGTGGGAATGACGACTCTTATCCAGATAAACATTTACCCAGTAAATTATTGCATTCGATATGTTTTGATATTACTAAAATCTTACGCATAAAAATAAATCATAATCTTCTATTGATAAGGGCTTCTTGGTAAGCAATCGGGTAAACGGGGCTTAATTCAATATTCACTAGAAGCGTACTCGCGCAATGCAGCGAGATACATCATGATTTTAATATTTCATTTTCTTATTTATCTCAGTCGATATTATAATATGGCTTTATGTGATTTTGAGAAAGTGATAATGTTTTTATTTTTGAATAAAATATATGTTTGAAGATATCATAAA